GATTACCAAAACGTTCTTTCCCCTTTCTTTCCTGGTGAGGTCAGAGAATAAGGAGCCAGTGAAAGATGGGTGCAGAATGTGACAAAATAACGAAGAATAACCTTGGACAGTGACTGTTGCAGCAGTTGGAAGAGCTGAAGAGTAACACCAAAGAGATTGCAGTAACTAAAACAAAGAAGTTGGGAAACGACTTGGAAAAGATACAGTATGATCTACCACCCAACAGATCAAATTAATTTTGACAAAAATTGCTACTTGAACTCTGACCAACTAATTGGTCTAACTAATATCCATTCTATACTGTAAAATAAACTGGGGTTGCAGTCATTTTTATTTTATAATTATATTTGTGTGTGTTAATTTACTGTATTGTTTTTAATATATTATGTTTGTGAAACTCCAGGGTGGCTGGAATTAGCCACCTCCTCTCCATCTATCAGAACTGTGTATTTCCCATTCCTTTAGTGGGCATGCTTTCCTTTCACCTCTACCCAAAGTTCAATTGCTCTTCCTCTTTCACACTGCTCAGGCAAGGGGTACATCTGAAGAAATCTATGTATCTCCTAAACCATATAATCCTGGGCTCCTCAGTTTTCGCAAATCCTTGCTCTTCCCTTCAGATCACTGGGGCTTTGCCCATTCTTATCGCAGCATCCCACTGGATGTATCACTGCCTCTAGGTTTTGCTCCTTCAAATATATCACTATCGGGCTCTCTGTTCCCCTGCCCATAGCCAGTTGTAAAATATTTATGTTAAATGCCTTTTAACATTAGCGCTTTGCAACTCTGAAAGTGAAGAGGAACTGGGGCTGTGCACGCAGCCCCACCAGGCCCATTCCAATACCTATCCAGTCACGTACCACCTGAAAGGGCAGCATGGACAGTTATGTCATGCTGTGCATTTGTCAGGGTCTAGAGCAAGCAGCATTAGCACAGGGAAACAGGGCTCCCAGCCCGCCCTTAGTTTGACCTCCATGCATCGATTCAGATTGTAGGAATATCTGCAATTCCCCCAAATCCATTCTCAAATACTAAATACCATCTTTTTTGCAAAGTGTTCATGTTAAGGAATTAATCATTAAGTTTCAATTATTTTATTACAGTTTTTTACTGAACTGCAGGCTCAGGGATTGTTGCAAATGTGATTGCACAGCAATGCCAGAAGTCACTTTAAGCCCTTCTTTGAAGGCCTTTCCTGTAGTCTGCCCCTACTAGATTGATTATGTAGACGGCTGCTATAGCTTCAGCACACTTAGTACAAGTAATCAAATTTGATAAGATCAAACCAACACTGTTGTTCTCCATGTTCCACACCCTCTTAATTGCACTTCTGAAATTTCAACTGCAAGTTCCTTGCGGATAGAAATATCAATAGCTACCAACATGAAATGTATTTATATACATGCATCTTAACTTTAAATTATATTAAAGCATCCCATGGTAATATAAAAGAACAACATAGTTTATCCATACTGGACTAAAAAGAAGGAAATTCTCATAGATTAGTCCAGAACTTCTGGATCTTTTACAGCCTACAGGGATAAAGAAATAAATGAAGTTGAAAAATTACTTAGGAGTGGTATAAATCAGATACAACGAAGTGAGGGGTAGTTTCCAAATAAGTATTTTTTCTTTGATAAGAGCAAAAGGATTATGCCAGCCACATTCTCTCATGTTATATCTTTTTAGCTAAAATAAATGCTGAAATCTGAACAATGTACTCACAGATTAATAACTAGAAAACCCAGCATTTATACATACAATGGATTTTCCAAATATTAAGGAAAAAACAGGATATCATTCCTATATTAACATTCAGCACAGCCTACTACTAATGGTACAATGTCCTCTTTTTCATGTTTTCTTTTAAATGGGCCCAGAATTTTTTTTTTTTTACTATTTTTTTTACTTTAATATAGGAAATGAATATTTCCTTTTAACTGTGAGTTCATCTGCCAGGTAAGACTGGAGTCAAAAGGGCTATACAGCTCTTCCAGCTAAAACACGTAGCCAGTTGCTTTATATTAAGTTGTGATGTTGTGTCAGTGCCCTGTCCTCAAGTGGCATAATGCACCCTTTATGTATCAGTCGAGAATTCCATCCTTTATTTGGTAGCAGAAGCTCAGCTATGAGGCGTGCATGTCGTTACTGGTTTTTTGTTTTGCAAGGAGCTTCATTTCAATGCTACTTATGGCAGGATCCATCAAACGTTTTCCTTTTATCACAGCATGTAGCTCATATTGATGTCTATTAAGTCATTTGTTTCTTTATAAAGCTAAGCCCTACATATGCGTATAAATGCCCTAAGCAAAGTGACCACATCGAACTGGAGCTTCAATTTGCTGGGTTTTCATGGCACTCAGTCTATCTGCTTGAGTTGGGAAGGTGTCAAGATGGCGAGCAATTTTCTCAAATTTTGGCATGTGCCACTGTGAATCCATCCTCATAGGGGTTTGGTATTTATTCAACATCACCATACGTGTATCATATGTTTTCTCTAGTTTTTTCAAATGTTGTTTCTTCTGCTTAAGAAGCATGTTAACTTTCCGATGCTCCTGCAGCCACTGGTCACCAAACTTATGTTGAAGGACCTCTGTTATGGGCGTAGGAGGAGGATATGGCTTCCCATATGTTATGGCATCAGAGAGATGAGGTGGTTCTTTTGGGAAGCCACTGGAAGCAATCATTTTGCAGTGAGCCTCATGGTGGTGTTCTTTTGCAGTGAAAAGACCAGCTTTAATTCCTGTAGTATTCGTGTAAATAAAATCTTTTGGTACTTCTTCCTTTCTGATAACCCTAGGTTGCATAACATGCCAGTGCCCTATAGCTTCAGGAACTCCTCCATCAGTCCCACGTGCGGTTATTCCATATACAAAATTGGCTCCTGGAATCTTTGCACATCTTCTCCGAGTCCTTCCTAGCTCTGACTTTAAGATAAGAGGATTCTGGAACATGCTGTCTCTCACAAGTCCAAGCCTTTCATTTTCTGTCCCAGGGTGAATATCAGCTTTGGTCAGTGGCAGGAGAGGTGGTGGACAAATGTCACTAACAGAAGCCCTCTTTTTAAGTTTCTTAAGGTACCTTTTCACAACTGTACTCATTGCTGATCACTGCAGTAAAACTGACACTTCTGCTTTCACATCTATCTTTACAAATATTTGATCCAGGCGTCTATAGCTGAGTATAGCATGAAGTGTGACATCATAAACTATGCAAAAGTTATTGTTGGGATTTACCATGTCATCAAGCCTGATTTATTCATTCATAACTTGTAAGTTAGCCAGTAAAAAACAAGGAAGACATCTCTGTGTATATACCTTAGAGCAGTGTTTCTCAATCTTATCAACTTTAAGATGTGGACTTCAACTCCCAGAATTCACCAGCCACTGTTTTAGAGACTGGAAGGAAGGAGAGAGACATAAACAAGCTAAAGAGCCCTAGGTAGGCATTTTATCTCATGTTCATTAACAAAAAATCAGATTTGTTAATTTAGTTTCTGGGGAAATGGATCCTTTGTTTCTAGAAATTTCTTTATACCTTCTAACTTTTGCACAGGAAGACTCCAAAATCAATGCTAAGGGCTGCAATGCCAACTGGCTTCAAATGTACATATGTATAACCTCAATATTTCAAACCCCAACAGATAGAAGAGACTTATAACTATAGTCCTATTATGTTGTCTATAGTTTTTTTCCTAATTTGCTGATCAAAAAAACAAAAAGCTGATTATGTCAGACTTTATCACTGAAACCAGCATTCCCCATCTAATAATCTTCAAATGCTTACTGGGAATTGTGGGAGTTGAACTTCAACACATCTGGAGGGCACCAGATTAGGAAAATCTGATCTGAACTAAAGCTATTAAGACAAAATCTAAATCAGACACCAATAAAATAGAAAGATAAATGTGAGTTAAAATATTTATAAATGTCCATGTTAGATGGTTTAAGCAATACAGTTTATCAAATCACAATACATATTCAGTAAGAACATACATCTAATCAATTTTAGTAGCATAAATATGACACAATGCTATAAAAACAATTTCGGCTTTTTTATCATCATATGCTGCCAGGTTAAATAAGCCCCACAGCAGATAAAGCAAGATCTGAACTCCAGGAAAGAAAAAAAAAGTAGAAATTAGCATACACACAGATTTTTATTTGACTACATTTTGTTCCTCAATTCAAATAGCATGTTTAATGTATGTTTCAGTATTAAGGATGTGGAAAGCTCTGCAGATGTTTGCTTTAGGGAAAAAAAGGAGTCTTTTATACAGAGTTTTTGCTCTGTATATTATTTAGGGGGTTATTTACAGGAGCCATAGAAAGCCAATGACAGAATCAGGATTATTTCTTTTTCTTAAAAGCATCTATACCACTTTTACCTGGATCAATGCCATAGCAATGTAAAAGGGAAGGGATTAAAACTGTTTTTCTAACACTGCTTTCCTGATCTAAAATTCTTTAATCCTTAATAAACTGCCATTTGCCCCCCCCCCCCAGCCAAAAGCCCTACAAGCTACAGAATGGCAGGGTCCCAGAGTTGTAATTATTGTGAACTCATCTATTCAGAAGCACTTTCTGTGGACATCAATTGGGCTTATTTCAAGCAAAGCCGTTCAGGACCCTGGTGTACTATGAAGAGAAAGGGAAGCACGAACCTAGCAAATTATTTCTAGAATTAAATCTTCCCTCTCTTCCTCCTTTTCTTGATTGGTCAACCTGCATTTAAAATAGCTCAACAATGATTTATATTATGTTTTATACATGCTTCATTAAAACAAAACAAACAAACAAACAGCACTAAGGAAGGTGCCGAAATCATAACCCCGTTTTTTCCGCTCGCCCTTCCGCACTTCGTCCACCCACCTCCCCCGCCGAATTGCAGCTCAAACGCTCGAGGGTTGCCAAAGGCCATGAAGCTCGTCCTGCCCGACCCCCAGTATTTTACGGCTCTCATCTGCATCCCGCTTTACCCGACAAAATCCAAATTCTTACGGTGTCTTTTGAAGTTCCCAGTTTTTTCAGCCCGTCCAAGGGCAGCAGGTCGGCGGAGTCCTTGTGGTTAAACTGAACGGCCTGCTTCATCCTCCTCTGCTGCCGGAGGGCTGCGGCTTCCCTCACGTCCATGTCCTTCCTCTCGGTCAGCAGCCCCGAGTAAAACATCTTGCCGGCTCCCCTCGCCGGCCAGCCAGCCAGCCGGCCGGCCGGGCCTTTGCTTACCGTCGAGAAGCTGTAGCGGCGTGCACCGCCACTGCTCCTTCTTCCGAGGGGACGCCTGGGCGAGCTCTTATCGGGAGCGCTTTATAGCCGGACCTCTCCGCGTGATGAGCGCGAGCAGCAGGTGCCCCCGCCGGTGCGGCGCTGTCGTCGAGGAGGGGCTGGGCGGGGGCCGTGCAAGAGGCGGCCCGCCCCCGCCCG